CTAGCCCCAAATCCCCAGAAAGTTAATCCAGCCTTGGGGGTAAGCCTCCCTGTCCTCCCCCCACCATAGGGATAGAGCTTGAGTGGAGTGTCTTTTTTTCCTTACTTTTCAGTTGGGGGCCCTATATGTCTGTCTGGGTTTCTTTTTTTTCCTCCTTACTTGGGAGCCAGGTCAGTGTGGGTTGTTTGTTTTCTGTTGTTTTTTGCCTCTCACTTGTGTGTGTGGCCCCCTAGTGATTTTTCTTTGGGTGGCCCCCAGACCTAAAAAAGATTCCTCAATGCTGGTTTACAGTTTCTAAGGTAGTTTCAAGTTTTTCAATCTGCTCCTGTCTTTTCTTCTGTTTGACTAATTCTGACAACTGTGCTATCGATCTAGGGGTATGTCTAACCTGGAATGAGGTTTAACTGTTAAGTCGAAGTAAGGGGTTTATTTCGGAATCGTCCTTCTCTGCTGCGTGTAGATGTGGGCAGTTCATCTGAGCTAGTCAATTTCCAAAGTGGCGACCACCCGGGAACATGCTAATGAAGCGTGGGATATTTAAATCCCGCGCTTCATTTGCAATTTTGGTTGCCCTCATTAGCCTCCCTACTTCGAACTAGGGGGCTAGTGTAGACATACCCTAGTTGTGTCTGGGGTTAAATCTCTCATCAGTTATAGCTGCTCTCAAAGATTTTTTATCTGAAAACCCAATAACCAGACCGTTTTGGATATTTTCATGTTTTTCATTTCCATAATTACAGTTTTATAAGAACTCTTCAGACACTGGTTGAAAACATTTAACATTTTCCCTTGTTCTTGAATTCTCTGGTGAAAACATCCTCTTTCATAAACCATGTTTAGGGGGTATAAAGTATGCATCAAACACAGCCAGAACCCTTTCACACTCATTTGTAAATGTCTTTAGCAATGTCAAAATGTAAACTGTTTCCCAGAGCATGCATTTTAAAAGGTACCTATGTATCGTCAGCTTCTTTGGGGAATTTGTTTGCCATTTAAAATGTTACAAAATACTGACTCATAGACTTTAAGGTCAGAAGGGACCATTATGATCATCTAGTCTGACCCCCTGCACAGTGCAGGCCCCAGAATCTCACCCACCCCCTCCTAGAATAATCCTCTCACCTATATCTCAGATATTAAAGCCTTCAAATACTTTGAAGACCCCAAGATGCAGAGAATCCTCCAGCTGTGATCTGTACCCTATGCTACAGAGGAAGGCGAAAACCCTCCAGGGCCTCTGCCAATCTACCCTGGAGGAAAATTCCTTCCCGACCCCAAATATGGCGATCAGCTGAACCCTGAGCATGTGGGCAAGACTCATCAGCCAGACACCCAGAAAGTTCTCTATAGTAACTCCTATCATCCCTCCATTGACCTATTTCCCACTAATAATGAATGGTCAATTTGTTACCAAGATCATGTTATCTCATCAAACCATCCCCTTCATAAATCCATCTAGTTTAATCTTGAAATCAGATAGATCTTTTGCCCCCACTACTTCCCTTGGAAGGCCGTTCCAGAACCTCACTCCTCTAATGGTTAGAAACCTTAGTCTAATCTCAAGTCTAAACTTCCTACTAGCCAGCTTATATCCATTTGTTCTTGTGTCCACATTGGTATTAAGCTTAAATAATTCCTCTCCCTCCCTGGTATTTATCCCTCTAATAAATTTAAACAGTGCAATCATGTCCCCCCTCAGCCTTCTTTTGGTTAAGGTAAACAAGCCAAGCTCCTTGAGTCTCCTTTCATAAGACAGGTTTTCCATTCCTCGGATCATCCTAGTGGCCCTTCTTTGTACCTGTTCCAGTTTGAATTCATCCTTCTTAAACATGGGAGACCAGAACTTCACACAGTATTCCAAATGGGGTCTCACCAATGCCTTGTATAATGGCACTAACACCTCCTTTTCCCTACTGGAAATACCTCACCTAATACATCCCAAGACCGTATTAGCCTTTTTCACGGCCATGTCATAATGGCGGCTCATAGACATCCTATAATCAACCAGGACTCCGAGGTCCTTCTCCTCCTCCATTACTTCCAACTTATGTGTCCCCAGCTTATAACTAAAATTCTTGTTATTAATCCCTAAATGCATAACCTTACACTTCTCACTATTAAATTTCATCCTATTGCTATCACTCCAATTTATAAGATCATCCAGATCTTCCTGTATGATATCCCGATCCTTTTCTGAATTGGCAATAGCTCCCAACTTTGTGTCATCTGCAAATTTTATCAGGACACTTCCACTTTTGGTGCCAGTCTGTCCATTATAAAGGTCTGTCAGCACTGAAGTTCTTTAGAGGATTGAAGAGTGGCATGGTGATGAGATTCTGCATCCTTTATTGCTGTTCCTTCAGTCTCTGTTGGTAGTTTACTCCTGACCCTGTGTAACAGTGCTCTGTACCAGATATTGGCTGGTCATACAGCTTGCTTATACACATAGGATGTGTTAATCTTAAGTATCTTAATGTTCTGCTAGGTATGAGTGAGTTTTATTTAAAATTGGGTATGTTACACACAGTGCTACTGGCTGACCAGTACCATATGGTTTAGCATTCCAATTACAGTGCCTCTCATTTGGCAGCATACAAAACTCAGTGAGGCTATGGAGGCTGGTGGTAGTGGGACACACAGCTATCATCACACCGATCCATAAGGCAGGAGGCTGGAGATAGATAGCAACCGTAGGGCATGGTAAGCAGGAAGCTACCAAAGAACAAGCCCCAAAAACATGGTGGTGGCATTGACAAAGGTTCAAGAGCAAATGTTTGGGTCCAATTGACTCTGAAAACAGCTTGACACTCTTGGGTCAAGTTCAGATTGGCTGTGCTCAGCTCTGTCTTAGGTCCAAAGCAGGCTTTAAAATCAGGGACAAACAGACCTCTGCTTTGTAGTACCTTTTGAAAGGAGAGGGCGGGGGGGGCTGTCAAGGGACCAAACATAGAATCTATTCTAAGTCGGTGCAATGAAACAGAATTCCAAATGGTTCCAAGAAACACTAGACTTTATATGCTATTATATACAAAATGTTAAAAACCTACATTAAGTAAGTTCAAGCACTCATAAGTTAGGAATGCCAGGATGAAAGTTGTTCATGCACCTTTACTTCATTCCCTTTGTGTGTTTGCAAGGGACCAAACATAGAATCTATTCTAAGTCGGTGCAATGAAACAGAATTCCAAATGGTTCCAAGAAACACTAGACTTTATATGCTATTATATACAAAATGTTAAAAACCTACATTAAGTAAGTTCAAGCACTCATAAGTTAGGAATGCCAGGATGAAAGTTGTTCATGCACCTTTACTTCATTCCCTTTGTGTGTTTGGGTTATGATATAATTTAATTCCATCACATACAATTTTCAATTTTTAGTACAAATGGCTAAAACGAAGTAATATAAAATCAGAGAAAGGTTCAAAATTACAATAGACAATATATAAAACCTATGAATAGTATAGGATGCAAACTACTACTTTAGCCATTTAAATCAATGCAACAATTTCATGCTTCCATACTCTAACTCTAAGATTTGCACTGTTCAATCCAGCTAATACGCAGACAGCTATTGCTCAATAAAACTTTTATAACAAGAGGTACACATACCTTCAGTGTAATCTTGGACTCCTCCTCTGTCCCCATATCCAGGCCAATCCTAGATAATAGTTTCTCTTTCATCAAAATCTTATAAAAATTTCAGTCGGTCTAAAATACCTCTCCACACTATAATTATTTCCTGCTTTAACTATCATAGCCTCCTGTTTGACTTCCCTGACTCATTTTGCTTCCCTTCAGTCTGTTCCAAAATACTGCAAATAAAATCATCTTCATGTGCTGCAACTTTTGTCACCCTCCATATCAAGTTAACGCTTCCCATCCTTACCAGCAACACCCTCCCCAAATCTGTCACTCTACCCAAAGTTTTTTTTTTACTGGGGACAAATAATGAAAAAACAGGTACGGGTGTGAGGGTCAAAGGGTTAAAACGAGGGAACCGGATGGGGATACTGAGCAGAGAACCCCGGACAGCGCCCACTGCCCCTCGAAGGTCTCGAGAGAGCCAGCAGAGGCTACCCATTGGAACTCTGCCCGGATACATGAGCGGATACAGCAACAGAAATAGGCCCCACAGTCGCAGGCCCCTCCCCCGGCCAACCTCTTCTCCCTGGTTTTGTAGATTGCCAATTTGGTCATAGCCAGAAGGAGGTTGACCAGGAAGTCCCGCGACATTGTGGGGTCACGGATGGGATGTGCGTAAATTAACAATTGGGGGGGGAAGTGCAGCCAGAACCTCAACAGGAAGTTCTGGAGGAGCCGAAAGAGGGGCTGTAGCCTGGCGCACTTGATGTAGATGTGCGCCAGGGTCTCCCTCACGCCACAGAAGAGACACGTTTCAGAGGTGGGGGTGAACCGCGCCAAGTACACGCCCATGCTCACCGCGCTGTGCAGGATTCTCCAGCAGATGTCCCCGGTGGGCCATGGAACCAAGGTCAAATAGAGGCTGGCCCACCAGGGCTCCCCACCCTCCATTGGTGGTAGGAGGTCCCGCCATTTGGTGTCTGGGTGGGACACGAGGGTGGGGAAGTGGAGAGGGTGAAGCATGAGCATACACGAGGGTGGGAAAGTGGAGCGTGTGAAGCACGAGCGTGTACATGTGACTCTTTCGGAGAGGGACTGGCTGCATCGTGTGCAGCCGGCTAGGATGACGAGGGGGAGGCGGTCGGGAAGTTACGCGGGGCTGGGGACCAATGGAGAGATCAGGAGGGCTGGAGGTGAGAGGTGGGCGGGGTGCACCCTCTCGCAGGACCTTGTCTAGATAAACCCGAAGGTTTTATCTCCTTTTTGTCCTCCATCATCTTCATGCTTTCATACTTTCTCTGTGTCTGGAACACCCTCTCCAATGCAGTGCACCAGGCATGCTTCACTCTAACATCAAATCCTTCTTTAAAATGTGTTTCTCTCTTCAATCTTACCTAAGATGACACTCATGATGTTCCAGACTTATGAGGAAAAACTGCATCACCCTATCACAACTTACCTCTTTTCATCCGAGTCTGTTTCTTACTTTGCCTCTGCTTTTGGACTGAAAGCTCCTTTGGAAAGAGTTGTTGTCTTTCCTCTGGCAAATCTAATGAAAGGTGGCTCAGATAGGGAACCTATTAACAAAACAAGAATTTCACTGCCTAAAGGTTTATTTCATCTTCCCCAAAAACAGAAGAAGAGAGAGTTTTCCCCACAGATCCTTATTACAAGAATTGCTTCTAAATATTTACAAAGAGAATAAGTTACATTCCATAAAACAAAAACAAAGTAGAATATGATACATCAGCACAATTTCCTTCCTTCCTTCCATGTGTCTCCTCTACTAGGGAAAAGGTAGTCTCCTTATATAGTCAGTGAGCATACCGGCCCCAGTGCAGCTGAGCATTTAAGCACATACTTAAATTTAACTATATGAGAAGTCTCACTAAAGTCAATGCTTGTTCACAACCTTAAAATGTTCTGTACATCTCATTACATGCCCTGTATTAGGGCTGAGCAAATTACTGACAATTAACAGGTAACAACATGGATGAAATTATATAAGCATATTAGATTATGAGAGTTATACAAGTAGCATTGTGATAAACTTCAAGGGAAGTCTTTTTTCTACATTTATAGTGTAGGAAGCTAACAGAAAAGTGTATGGTTTCCAAGGTACAGCTAATCCTATTGCTATTTTAAATCAGTCTTGAATATCTTTCCAGAAAGAACCATTTATAGGATATACTCACAGAATGTGGTAATTTGTTTCTTATGCCCACAGTTTTCCCATCATAACTTAGTATGTATAGAAATATAGGTTCAAACTAATTGGTACTGAGTTTCAAAAAAGTTGAAATATCTGGTACATGAACTCCTGGCCTGTCTCTTATATTATTATATATGAAAACTGTTTGTGGGATAAAACATCATTTATACAGTTTACCAAATAAATTTAATCCTTATTGAGTAAAACAAAATGGAGCATTTATGCAATGGCTGATGCCTGCATCCTTGTTCATTTAACAATAACAACACATCTAAGATTCAAGTATAAACCAAGGGAGAGGATATAAATTGCATTCTTTTAACTTAAGTAAATGCAATGAATGAGTAATAGGAGATTAGTCAAATTCAGTAATTCATATTTTAGCTCCAAGCAGTTAGTTCCTGGGTTCCACTAGATGACTATAATGGGCAAAGGGGGACAACTAGCAGATGCCTTATCAGAAACACTAGATCTTAAAAACTTCCAAGTACAATATCATTTTGAATTTTTTTGTTAAGGGTAAACCTTTGAAAATCAGAAAGAAGTTTTGCCTTATTCAGTGGAATTTTCCCTGTCATGGATTCTGCAGAAATTTTGGGAAATTCAATGGGAACTTAAGAGTGAATGCATTCAAAAGACATAAATTAGATGACCAGATACATTTGGAGATTGTTTATTATTTTCAATAGTTTTAAGTATAACATTTCATTTCATTCATTTGAGGATGTTTATTTTAGTTTTCCCCTGTTCTGGTAGTCAGACCTCCAGGAAAATCCAGTGGTTGTTAGAGCTAAGAATAAAATTCAGGAACTTTGACTTCCAGTTGCCTGTTCTGAACACTAAACCCAACTCAATCTTAAATATACATAAAACTGGAGGATGAGAGAGTAGATTACCAGATTCACTGAACTAAATGAATATATCTATAAATATTGTCTGAAGAGTTTTACCTAGTTGTAAGATCTGAAATATAAATTGCAATTACATATTGTTGTAAAACATTTAGTAGTTCAAATGAGTGAGGAGAATCTCTAAGACTGGTAGACTGAAAAAATGATTGCAGTTTTGCCTTAAAGTTTTATTTATTTTTCTATGGCACTTGTCACCACAGCATTCAAGCATCTCACAAACATTAAATAATGTATTCTCCTTACAAGTCTGTGAAGTATTACAGAGAACAGAGGAAAAAAAGAGATTAAGGGGAATGTTCAAATTCTCCAGGAAACATAATGGTAAAGCCAGGAAAGGAACCAAGGCCCCTGATACCTGGTTTATCCAGTGCTTTAATGACCTGACTACCCTTCCTCTAAGGACCTGTCCTATCCCCACTAAAGTCAATGAAAAACACTCCCTACGTTTTAATGGGAATTAGGTCGGACCCTTAAAGTAAAAGATTTATATAATGCCACCTCCCCAGCAGATATATAGATCCTTAGTAATACAGTAGCATCATATAAAGATACAGGAAAGAGCCTTTTCTTACAGACCTTTCTAAAGACCCCACAGAGAAATGAGACAGTTTGCTTTTCACATATACAAACTGATACATGTAGAATCCAGCATTTCCATAGTTTCATAATTTTATTCTTTCCCCTTTTGATTGAAACTTGGAAATCAACATTTGGCTTTTTTCTTTCACTCTAGAATGGATGTTTTCTACCTCTTTGCTTCAATGAATTTAAAGTAAAATATTCACTCCAAAATCCATATTATTTTCCCTGTTTTGTTCAATAATAGCCTTCTAATCATCCTGTTGGTTTCTAGGGCTCTTGTATCAGGAATATCGAGATAAATCTACACTTCACGAGATTGAAACCCGGCGGCTGCAGGATTCACAGACAGATCCTGAGGAGTGCTCAGCCAATGAGGAGACTCCATCAGAGGCAGAACCCACAAATACTACAGAAAACAGGACCTTTCCCCAAATCAGCTTGCTCAGGAACCCCACCTCCAGGTTTAACTTGTGGCAGGATCTTCCAGAAATCAGGAGCAGCGGTGTCCTGAATATCCTTCAACCAGATGAGATCAAACTGCAGGAGGTAACGGAAGGCATGCAAGGGAATAAAAAGTTTCTCTCTTGGATTTTTGCTTAAAATTGGTGTGGCTAGAGTCACTTAATTCAAAACAAATATCATTCAAAAATAAGGAAGTTCCACTGCAATCAGTGACAAATTGTGGTCTATCACATATCTCCATATTTAATGTTAATGAGCTTCACTTTCTAAAGAGCATGAGGAAGTCCTATAGCCAGGGCTTAAATTCAGCTGGTGCCTATTTTCAAAGTGTTGGACACCCCAGCACCTCTCTTGGAGACTGTAGCTTTGGAGTGCTTCACCCCCTTTACGGTAAAGCCCTTGAAACCTCTATGTCCCTGAGTTGAATGGGGATAGTGTCATGGAAGGTTCTAGGAAATAGTCTCAGAATTTAAGCCCTGACTGTACCATGCCTCCATCACCAGAAGAGAATCTCACTTCAGTGGAGTATGGAGAACATAGCTTCTCATTACTGCTACTATTAATTTATAAGGAGAATAAAGAAGTAATGAAGTACTAATTCTGTTACTCTTTTTGACCTCCTTCCATAGCAGATTATGCTCTTCAGATACTTACTTTCTTCCTAGGAAACTTTGTTTAATATATTTAAAATTTAATATATTTAAACATTAAGTGGAATAAAAGGAATGAAAGGGTTGGTCTTCAGCCCAGTGGAGTTTCCTTATTTTGCAATGTTGATACTTTGATACCTTTAAAACAGAATAACGGGTTGTAGTATGCAAAACTGGGTCAATGAGGATGCATGAGCACTGTTAATTTATAGGGCTGTATCAAATAATGCATTTAGTGAGTTGTTGACTGTACACTCAGGGCTGTTGCAGTGATATACACATTAGTGAAAATGTTCATTATGACTTGCTTGCTCTTGAAACACCAATCTCGGTACTTCTTTTCAGCAACCCAACCGGTCTCTGTTATTTGGTAGTATCTGAAAGCTTTGCACCTCGGGCAGTGTCTCTGGGATATTTTTCCTCTCAGACCAGTGAAGGGATTTAACTCCTTTATGTTTCATCCAGGAAAGCATATAGACACCTCATTAGAAGCACTTTATATTATTACTCTTGGGGGAATTCTATTTACAAAAATTAAAATATCTGTGTTGTGCAAAATTCCTTGTATTTTATTTCTCAAAGTAACATAATATAAACATGCCATTTTCAATTTTTTTGATAATTTATTTCAAAATATCTGTCAACAAGTATGTCCCTAACAATACAGACAGAAAAAAAGATTCAGGAAATATTTATTGACAAATAGATTCCTACCAGGGAAATTAATACAAAACTTTGTAATTAAAATTACAATATAGAACTGAATTTTTCACACCTCTTGGAAGCAGTGCAAATGTTTGGGAGAGCCAGGGTAATGGAGGAGCCAAGGGACAGGGAAAAATGTATACACTTGAACACAGGTTGAGATGGAAATAGAAGACAGTCTCTGGGTAAGAATGAAAGGGGTAAAAACCAAGGGTGATGTCAGGTAGGGGTCTACTACAAGGCATCTAAACCAGTGTTGGGGAAAGAGGTAGATAAGGTAGGGGTCTACTACAAGGCACCTAAACCAGTGTTGGGGAAAGAGGTAGATGAGAATTTTTTAAAACTAAGAAAATCATCCAAATCATAGGACTTGGTGGCAGTGGGAGACTTCAGCTACTCAGACATCTATTGGTAAACTAACACAGCAGGGCACAGATTATTCAACAAGTTCTTGGAATGTATTGGAGACCATTTTTTATTCCAGAAAATGGAGAAAGCCACTACGGATGAGGCTGTTCTAAATTTGATCTTGACAAAATGATGGGAACTGGCTGAGAATTTTAAAGTAGAAGGCAGCTTGGGTGAAAGTGATCATAACATGATGGAGTTCATGATTCAAAAGAATGTAGGAGGAAAGGCAACAAAAGGAAGACAATGAATTTCAAGAAGGCAAACTTTAGCAAACTCAGGGCGTTGGTAGGTAAAATCCCATAGGAAGCAAGTCTAAGGGAAAAACAAAGACAGGTGGTAGTCTTTCAGGGAGACATTAAGTACTTCAAAAAGTGGAAACAAAGTCAAATTATAAAGGATGAATATAAACAGTATGTGGGGCAGAGTTAGAAAGGTCAAGGCACAAAATTAGATAAAACTAGCTAGATACATAAAGAGAAACAAGAAAACATTCTACAAATACATTAGAAACGAGACTAAGTCCAATGAGGGTAGGCTTATTACTCAGTGATGAGGGAAAAACAATACAGAAAATGTGGAAATGGCAGAGATGCTTAATGATTATTTTGTTTTGATTTTTAGTAAGAAGGTTGGTGGTGATTGGACACCTAACATAGTGAATGCCAATGAAAATAGGATAGATTCAGAATCTAAAATAGGGAAGGAACAAGTTAAAAATTATTTAGGCAAGTTAGATGTCTTCAAGTCACCAAGGCCTGATGAAGTGCATACTAGAATATTCAAAGTGGTGATTGAGGAGATATTTGAGCCATTAGCTATTATAATTCTTTGAAAAGTCCTGGAGAGATTCCAGAAGTCTGGAAAAGGGCAAATATAGTGCCCATCTATTAAAAGGAAATAAGGACAACCCAAGGAATTACAGACCAGTCAGCTTAATTTCTGTATCAGGAAAGATAATGGAGCAAATAATTGAAGAATCCATTTGCAAGCATCTAGAAGATAATAAGTAATACTCAGCACGGATTTACTGAGAACAAATCATGTCAAACCTGATAGTTTTATTTGACAGGCTTAAAAGCCTTATAGATGGTGGAGATAAGTGGTAGATGTGGTATATCTGGACTATAGTAAGGCTTTTGATACCATTTTGCATGACCTTCTCATTAACAAAAACTTAGTTTGTGATATTAAGCTGGGAGGAGATGCAAGTGCTTTGGAGTTTGCAAGTGCAGTTGTACACATACAAAATGAGAAATGACTGCCTAAGAAGGAGTACTGCAGAAAGGGATCTAGGGGTCACAGTGAACCACAGGCTAAATGAGAGTTAAGAGCATAACACTGTTGAAAAAAAAATTAAACAATTTCTGGGCTGTATTATCAGAAGTGTTACAAACAAGACATGAAAAGTAATTTTTCTTCTTTTCTCTGCGCTGATTACACCTCAGCTGCAGTTTGTGTCCACTTCTGCATGCCATGTTTCAGGAATCATGTGGACAAATTGGAGAGAAAAAAGTCCAGAAAAAAGCAACAAAAATGATTAATGTTCTAGAAAACCTAAGCTATGAGTGAAGACTGAAAGAACTGGATTTGTTTAGTCTGGAAAAGAGAACAACACTGAAAAGCAACATAACAGTTTTCAAGGAGGAGGGGGAAAATTATTCTCCTTAACCTCTCATGATAGGAAAGGAAGAAATGGGATTAATTTGCAGCAAGAGAGGCTTAGGTTGGACATTAGGAGTCCTAATGGTCAGAGTGGTTAAGCACTGGACTACATTGCCTAGGGAGCTTGAGGAATCTTCATTATTAGAGATTTTTAAGAATAAGCTAGACCAGTGTTTCTCAACCAGTGATACGAGTACCATTAGGGGTACTCAAGAGAAGTCTGGGGAGTACGTCAACACAACTGAAATTTGGAGAAAACTGAATTTTTGTTTTAAGTTTTACAGCATTTTATTATTTTTGTACTTTTTACACCCAAAAATTTCATTGCCCACCCAGCTAAGATTAAGTTGTTTAAACAAATATGTTGCAATGGTAGAAAAAAATGTGTGTGTCTGAAAACTGTAGGTACTGGGAGTACTTATAATTTTTTTAAAGGGGGTACTTTATAAAAAAAGGTTGAGAAACACTAGGCTAGACAAACACCTGTCATGGATGGTCTAGATGACTCTTGGTCCTGCCACGAGAATAGGAGACTGGATTTGATGACCTCTCAAGGTTCTTTCCAGTTCTATGATTCTATAAAATAATAGTTGGGAAGGATCCTGGGAGTGAATCAGGAGTGTGGCTGGGTGTTGGAGGGAGTCATATGGGACAGGAGTTTTTCAGAGGGAGACTTGTTAGGGAATTAGGGAGCCTCCCCATACAGACCCTGGCCCTAGCCTCTCCCTTTGGTCATATCTGCCTGTACCCCTGCACCATCCTCAGTCATCCCTCTTCTCGAATGGAGAAAGCCACTACGGATGAGGCTGTTCTAAATTTGATCTTGACAAAATGATGGGAACTGGCTGAGAATTTTAAAGTAGAAGGCAGCTTGGGTGAAAGTGATCATAACATGATGGAGTTCATGATTCAAAAGAATGTAGGAGGAAAGGCAACAAAAGGAAGACAATGAATTTCAAGAAGGCAAACTTTAGCAAACTCAGGGCGTTGGTAGGTAAAATCCCATAGGAAGCAAGTCTAAGGGAAAAACAAAGACAGGTGGTAGTCTTTCAGGGAGACATTAAGTACTTCAAAAAGTGGAAACAAAGTCAAATTATAAAGGATGAATATAAACAGTATGTGGGGCAGAGTTAGAAAGGTCAAGGCACAAAATTAGATAAAACTAGCTAGATACATAAAGAGAAACAAGAAAACATTCTACAAATACATTAGAAACGAGACTAAGTCCAATGAGGGTAGGCTTATTACTCAGTGATGAGGGAAAAACAATACAGAAAATGTGGAAATGGCAGAGATGCTTAATGATTATTTTGTTTTGATTTTTAGTAAGAAGGTTGGTGGTGATTGGACACCTAACATAGTGAATGCCAATGAAAATAGGATAGATTCAGAATCTAAAATAGGGAAGGAACAAGTTAAAAATTATTTAGGCAAGTTAGATGTCTTCAAGTCACCAAGGCCTGATGAAGTGCATACTAGAATATTCAAAGTGGTGATTGAGGAGATATTTGAGCCATTAGCTATTATAATTCTTTGAAAAGTCCTGGAGAGATTCCAGAAGTCTGGAAAAGGGCAAATATAGTGCCCATCTATTAAAAGGAAATAAGGACAACCCAAGGAATTACAGACCAGTCAGCTTAATTTCTGTATCAGGAAAGATAATGGAGCAAATAATTAAAGAATCCATTTGCAAGCATCTAGAAGATAATAAGTAATACTCAGCACGGATTTACTGAGAACAAATCATGTCAAACCTGATAGTTTTATTTGACAGGCTTAAAAGCCTTATAGATGGTGGAGATAAGTGGTAGATGTGGTATATCTGGACTATAGTAAGGCTTTTGATACCATTTTGCATGACCTTCTCATTAACAAAAACTTAGTTTGTGATATTAAGCTGGGAGGAGATGCAAGTGCTTTGGAGGATAGGATTATCATTCAAAACGATCTGGTCAAACTGGAAAAATGGTTTGAGGTAAATGGGATGAAATTAAATAAGGACAAAGGTAAAATACTCCACTTAAGAAGGAACAATCAGTTGTACACATACAAATTTGCAAGTGCAGTTGTACACATACAAAATGAGAAATGACTGCCTAAGAAGGAGTACTGCAGAAAGGGATCTAGGGGTCACAGTGAACCACAGGCTAAATGAGAGTTAAGAGCATAACACTGTTGAAAAAAAAATTAAACAATTTCTGGGCTGTATTATCAGAAGTGTTACAAACAAGACATGAAAAGTAATTTTCTTCTTTTCTCTGCGCTGATTACACCTCAGCTGCAGTTTGTGTCCACTTCTGCATGCCATGTTTCAGGAATCATGTGGACAAATTGGAGAGAAAAAAGTCTACTTCTGCATGCCATGTTTCAGGAAACATGTGGACAAATTGGAGAGAAAAAAGTCCAGAAAAAAGCAACAAAAATGATTAATGTTCTAGAAAACCTAAGCTATGAGTGAAGACTGAAAGAACTGGATTTGTTTAGTCTGGAAAAGAGAACAACACTGAAAAGCAACATAACAGTTTTCAAAGAGGAGGGGGAAAATTATTTTCCTTAACCTCTCATGATAGGAAAGGAAGGAGGAGGGGGAAAATTATTCTCCTTAACCTCTCATGATAGGAAAGGAAGAAATGGGATTAATTTGCAGCAAGAGAGGCTTAGGTTGGACATTAGGAGTCCTAATGGTCAGAGTGGTTAAGCACTGGACTACATTGCCTAGGGAGCTTGAGGAATCTTCATTATTAGAGATTTTTAAGAATAAGCTAGACCAGTGTTTCTCAACCAGTGATACGAGTACCATTAGGGGTACTCAAGAGAAGTCTGGGGAGTACGTCAACACAACTGAAATTTGGAGAAAACTGAATTTTTGTTTTAAGTTTTACAGCATTTTATTATTTTTGTACTTTTTACACCCAAAAATTTCATTGCCCACCCAGCTAAGATTAAGTTGTTTAAACAAATATGTTGCAATGGTAGAAAAAAATGTGTGTGTCTGAAAACTGTAGGTACTGGGAGTACTTATAATTTTTTTAAAGGGGGTACTTTATAAAAAAAGGTTGAGAAACACTAGGCTAGACAAACACCTGTCATGGATGGTCTAGATGACTCTTGGTCCTGCCACGAGAATAGGAGACTGGATTTGATGACCTCTCAAGGTTCTTTCCAGTTCTATGATTCTATAAAATAATAGTTGGGAAGGATCCTGGGAGTGAATCAGGAGTGTGGCTGGGTGTTGGAGGGAGTCATATGGGACAGGAGTTTTTCAGAGGGAGACTTGTTAGGGAATTAGGGAGCCTCCCCATACAGACCCTGGCCCTAGCCTCTCCCTTTGGTCATATCTGCCTGTACCCCTGCACCATCCTCAGTCATCCCTCTTCTCACCATCCCCACATGGCCCTGCATCTCCACTTCATTTCAGCCCCCGCCACGGTCTATTCCCTTTCACTAGCCCTTCTCAACCCCAGTCTGTAACCTACTCCCAGAAGCCTGATAAATCATTCTCTTTCTTGCCACACACATACATATGCCCTGTACCACCTCCCCACATGTGTCCTCCAGACACAATGCTTTGAGGAATGCAGCCTTTCTTCCTCCCTGTCTACTGCTGATTGCTACTGCTGATGAGTCAGCTCCCTCTGTTCTGGGGCCACAGCAGACCCTGGTGAGAGAAAGGCATGCCACCTGCAGTCCTCTCTGACAGAATATATCTCCTGCGGAGAAAAAAAAATTATGGAGGACATGAATTCTGTCTGTATGCAGTAATGCAGAGTTCCTTCGGGAGTATCTGTTAATACTGAGATGTCTTTTGCAGAGAGTGAAGACCAGGCAATGTTTTTTGTTTGAGCATATGGGGTATCAGCTGTCTTTGTTCAAAGCCAACAGGGTGGATTTAAGTAGGTTTTATAATAGGACAGGTAGGGTGAGATTATATGTTCACTCCAGATGACACTTTAAGCAGAGAAGGCTTGAATAAAAGATGTTATGGGAGTTAGCAATGACCAATAAAAGGAGCAATAGAATTCACTTTTTAAAAATACAAAATAGAAGAAACTTTGGTAACAGGTAGGAAGAGCAACAAGTGGTACTTCATGACACCAGTTGTGTTCTTGTTCACACTACCAAAAATGGTGACGGGGGTAAGTCACAGATTTGAATATTAGTACAATTATGATAAGCAAGACATAAAGAGGAAAGAAGGAAGAGGTAGCACTTGACATCAAAAGCAAATACAAGAGCAGAAAAATATAAAACAACAACAGGAGGTGTGACTGCAAGATAATAGGGGCTAAAACACAGGAATGGGAAAAACAAAAGAAAATGTGATGTACATGTGTTGTAGACCATAGGGGTCAGGAGGAAATGACAAAAAAAATGACATGCTATTGGAACAGTTATTAGAAATGACTAAATCACCAATGGGTAGCTTTAATTATCCAGACATCTGCTGAGCCTTAAGTACAGCAAAATATGAATCATCAAGGGCATTCTTTAACTATATGGAAGATAATTTAATGATGCAAAAAATAGAAGAACAAACCAGAAGAGACATTACTCAGGTTCTCACAGTGAACTGCCCTGGAGGAAGTGACAGAATGTGAATGTAATGACTTGAGTGTATTACTGTACTGTAGGTTAAAAACAAATTGTGTCACTAAGATATTAGATTTGGAAAAGCTGGTTACACAGAATTAAGAAAAAACCTTTTAATCAGTCTCATCCCTCTCCTCTAATTCTGTTCGCAAACACTTCCAAGTGGTTTTGTCTCATTTAATAATTAAACAGTAGGCATATAAACAGCCTTTAAGACTACTTACTTTTTTCATTCTGCATTTCTTCCCCTGTATTAACTGCTAACTTCCTCGTGGTCTTCATTTTCACTTCCTGTCATCCCATCTGCTAAAATGATCAGGAATGACATAGTTAATGCCTCGTTTAAAGTGTCATCATTAGTTAACATCCTATGTGATTGATAAAATTGTGTTGTTCACACATCTAAGCCATTGTTTCTGGCTGCCTGCAGACTCGGGAAGATAACACTACATCAAGGCTAGAACCTTTTTTCTTTAACAAAATTAGTTTTTTGGAGAAATTAAATATTCCATGAAGGCCACATACATACATTAAATGGGATGGCTTTTTAAGATCACAGATCTACTATATGCCTGGTCGATGCTTTCCAGAAAAAAAGAGGGAAGGAGCCACATCACATACTAAGCTGTGCTACCATTCCTCTTCTCCTAGTCCCAGTTCCATCATGGTCTCTAGAATTGGATTTGGGGTTTACAACAGTAGAATTGGTATTTTGTTGTTTCAGGAATTCTGAAGATGGATTTAACTTCAAAGAGGTGACTCAAAGGAAAATTCCTGAAATATGCCACTATGAATCTTTATGGAGGTTTACCTCATTCAGAAAAATGTTATTCTTTGTCTGACAGCTCCAAGAACAGCCCCCAACCTGAATAAATCTATTGTGGATCCCAGTTATTTATTTGTAACAGCTGATTTCTTATACACGACTGAGTAATCTTACAGCACTAAACAACAATAGACATTTATAGGGTTCCCAATTCCTGTAGTATTTGAACACCTACTAGGAAATGAGTTAATTGTTGCAACACCCCTTGGAGGTAGAGGTGTTTTCCTTAGTTTGCAGGTGGGGAAACAAGTCACATAGATGTTAAGTGAATTGCTCAAGTGAATTGGCAGAAAAGGAGTGTGATGAACTTGAAAATAGATTGCAAATCTTCTGAGCCCCTCACCATTGCTTCAGTCCCAACACAAAGCATCTGAAAAGCTGGTCATGGTGACCACTACTGGTAGGAAGTCAATAGGTAAGTGAAAGAGACCTGATGCTCTCCCAGATATCAGAACTGTTCCTATTAGCTGTGAAAGCAAATCTGTTTTGAGAGAGGAGGTGCAGCCTTCCAGTTGCAAACCTACATGGTCAGGGGAGCTGACAGCCAGGCTGGGCCATTGGGCAAGATGGGGGGGGAAGGGGAGGCCTGGCTCTGTGCCTCCAGAAGGAGTGGGGCCTCAGGCAGAAGGAGCCCCAGCCCTCAGTGTTGCCTGGAGTGTGCTGCACTCCCGCCTCCCCAAGCGGGCCTAAGGGCCACCCAGAGTGCACTGCTTCCTGCTCCAGAGCAATTTAAAGGTCCCAGAGCTCTGGCCACCACCACTGCCACAGTAGTGGTGGCGGTGGCCAGGAGCCCTAGGAATCAACTGCCATCTTCCCCCCGCTCCCATCATCGGCAAGCCTGTATATGGTCTGCTGCTCCTAGGATTGGTTCAGAGGTCAATAAACCCAAGAATAGTCAAGCGGGGGTCTGAAAAGTAACATTCTGGAACTTGCTGACTCAGTTCTACTGGTAGTAAGTGATGGTAAAACTGAAGAGTGTGAAGAATAGGACCCATGAAGCTGCCTCTGGTTCATCACTCTGGCTTGACAGAGGGCTCCCTATATTTTGTGATCCAAGTATTCTTATACTGAGGACTGTACACCCTCCAGATGGTAGCACCATTCTTCAAAGGCTGCTTTGATGGCTAGAAATGGTCTAGAATTCCATAGTTCTATTCTACCAGGGTTAGCGTCTGTGAATAGTAGGCTCAAAGGTGAAGTTGATATTGTGGACTACGTCCTTAGGAGAGAGTGGCCCTAATTGCTACATTGGAGGCATTGGTCTCAATGAGAAAAGGTTGTGTTGGGTCAGGAAGGACCAGGATCTATGTACTAGCAGATGTTTGTGAGCCTCCAGAGATAGGGTGGTGTCCTTGTGAAGAAGTGCTGTCAATCAAGCTGTTTTGGGCTGTAAACCCTGAGGTGAAGCACCTTTTAAAGTTAGTGAACATCAAGAACCATTGAAGCTCCTTGATATTTTTGGAGGGTGCGCAGGTTTGTACCACCTCCACCTTCTGGGGGTTCATGTGGAGGTCATTGGAGGACAGAAAGAGGCCAGAGCCTGCCCTTGCTGAAGCTTATAGAGGACCATCTCTTTCAAGTGGGCAAGATGGGGACTGTCAAATATGGTAGAGAATTCTTGGAGGAAAGCCTCTAAGTTTGATACCCTGGACTTGGTCGTTTGAGTAGGGATGAGGCCCAGTCCATTGCATCTCCCATCAGGAGGCAAATAATGAATCCTGTTTTCACTTGGTCAGTGGGTTAGGACTGGGGGCAAGCGGAAACAGCAGGCAGCTTTGGTGAACAACCCCCTGAATTTTTTCAGTCACCATTGAAAAGCTGTGGGAGACAGACCGCCTCCATGTACACAACTGCAGTGCATGTCTGTAGTGTAGCATTCTCATCCTGTGGCTGGGCTACCTGCGATTGTAGGACTGGTTGCCTGCAATACCATGTTTGCTTCCTGCAGCTGGGCAGACTGCCTGCGCAGAGCATGGTTCTCTGTTGTGAGCTGTGATCATTGAGCTGAGAAGAGCAGAGAAGTTCGTTGTTCAGTCCGGGCCAGTGTTGATATCAAGAGTCAGAATCCCAGTCAGATTTCATGGTCCAAATCAGGAGGAGAAGTCCAAATCAAGCCAAGGTCAAGTCAGACATTCAAGAGCAAGGAACAGGAATGATCATGGTAGTTCCAGATCTGCGCTGTTACCCAGAAACTTCCTGGAATGCTCTTGGAGTTTATTTAGGCCTCGTTATATAGTCTTGCATGGAGTATTCCATGGCTTGAGGCAGGACCTTTCTGTTACTCATTCAAACAGTCAAAGCTTTTTAGAGCAGTGGCTCTCAACCTTTCTAGACCACAGTATCCATTTCAGGATTCTGAATTACCCCAAGTTTCACTTTCAATAAAAACACCTTGCTTACAAAATTATATATAAAAATACAAAAATGTATTACTGAAAATTGCTTAATTTCCCATTTTACCATAGAATTATAAAATAAATCAATTGGGATATCAATATTATAGCGCCAGAAGATCTCTATGTACTCCCAGGGGCACACATACCCCCTGGTTGAGAGGATTCCTGGCTCGTATGGTATGCACAGGCACATTCTAAGAGTGTGAATCTTTATATTATTTAGGAACACCAGTTACTGATGAGCTATTTGTTTTTGATGCTGTATTGTTTTTCTACAACTATGGTACAGTAGGTTGGTTCATTAGTGCAGTGCACACAGCAAAGTAGAGCTTTGTTTAGTCAGCAAACTAATCGTGCAGGATACAGAAGACTAGGCAGAGGCGGAAGTTGTGTGTCTTAGCAAGGTCATTTCAGAGTCACTTTCCTAGTAATATCATCTATAGTGCATAAAGGGATGTTACTATTGCACACTGAGCTTTCATTGCATTTTGGAGCCAAAGTGACTGATACACAGTATGAACATTTTCATTATCACTAATCAAGCCGGTGAGCTTTCAGAGGCTATGTTGTTGATGTCTCTTTTTTGGGATTTTCCCCAAGGCCATGTTTGAACTGGTTACTTCTGAAGCCTCGTACTACAAAAGTCTGAATCTGCTGGTGTCTCACTTCATGGAGAATGAACGTCTGAAAAAGATCTTACATCCATCTGAGGCTCACATCCTCTTCTCCAACGTCCTGGATGTCATGGCTGTCAGCGAGCGGTAAGACAACTGCTATTAGTCTTTTGACTCTGCTGAGTTAGGAACAGGGTCTTTTTACTAGCTCAGGTGACCTCTGTCCTGGAGGAATAAAGGAATCTGCTGGGTGAAGACTTAACCTACTTTAAAGGGTATGCAGTGGTACTAATTGGTTTCCCCTCCAAATAGTTTGGGTCCCAGAATTTAATTGCAGGTCATGATTAATAGGAATTCTGGGTTTTCCATCTAGTTTCCTCTTGGACCTTGAGCAGCGGGTGGAAGAGAACATTGTCATCTCAGATGTTTGTGACATTGTCTACCAGCACACAGTTAATCACTTCTCGGTGTACGTAACCTACGTCTCCAACCAGACCTACCAGGAGAGAGCCTACAAACAACTTCTGTGAGTGCTATTGTCTGACTCTAAAGTATTTGCAAAGAATCCAACACCAGATTTTGTATTCAAGATGCTACCATCTTATTTTTAATTTGGCATTTGCAGAGGATCAGTAAATTGGTTTGAAAAACACGAGCCCTGGCCCTTCCCTGAACTGGACCTGAATCTATTTCAACAATTAATTAAATTTTATCTGGAGGGTCAGATGACAAGGTTGAAAACTAGCATTCCAAATATACTGAGTTGTCATCTATAAAGCACAAAGAGCATACAGTGTATATGATAGAGCACAAAGCTGTAGAATCTGCATGTACGTGAAGTGCAGGTAGAGGCAAAAATTATGAAGATAAACATGGTTATATGATCTCAGTTTTGTGGTCCTGAGTCTAGTTGCAGCTCTCTTGAGATTCTCCCAAAGACGTATGCCCTCTGGAGAGTTGATAAATTCTCTTCTTTAAGACTATGAAATCTCTTTTCCCATCATGCCCTGGTCTTGCACTATATGGAGGTCACCCGGATATTTTGTCCTAAGTGTTCTCTCACGTATATTCAAATCTAGCAAATCTATTAGCCAGCTGGGAATTTTCTTTTTTATCAGATCAAAATAAGACAGCCTTAGCAGTTTGCCTTTCATCAAATGCTTTAATTTCTCCTTAGTAATAATGCCCTGGATTTTTTTCCCAAGCTAGCCAGTACAGATTTTGCCCTATATGTTTCCACATTATAGCAACAACAATTTTAGCTAGATTCAGATGAGCATGGAAAATTACTGCCCCTTTCCTCTTCTCCAGCTAACTCTCTTTGCCTCCAAAAAGATACACGCTATAGTCCTACTGGAACCTCTGCCACAAGGGATCTCTCTGCTGGGTTTGGTTGACTGTTTTCAAATGTCATGCACCTCAGTGTTTCTGGGGCAGAGATGAACGGTGCCTTGTGGGACACTAGTAATACAAAGAAGTCTCAGAATATGAACAATTTGACAAGAGCAGATTATAGAAAATTGGCTGGATTGTGTGATATTACTAAAGGACCTGTTTGGATCTGGAGTGGCTCCTGGAGAAGGAGTCTGAAATACAGAGTCTTTTGGGGTTGGGAAAAAATGGTCAGTTTAAAAAAAATTGATGTTTTAGATAAGATTTAAGCAAGGAGGAAAACTCTGCAGCCAGTGCTTATCTGCCACTGTATGTTTCGCCCTGCATTTAGCTCTGCGCTCTCTCAGGCACACAATTACAGTCTATCTTGGATCTGGTAATTCAAACAGTCATGCAAACCTAAGAATACCCCCCTGCCTTATGAATAATTCTTTTGTTTAAACTTCAACTGTACATTTCCAAGCACATGCTTTAAAGACCGATTTAAAACAAAATGAATAGTATCCTCACATCTGTGCTGTTTTTGTTAGCTAGGACTCCAGTAGTGTAAGCTTCCTCATAGCACATCTTTTCAAGTGCCAGGAAATACATCACGTAGAGGAAATTTTCTTAGAGTAGTGCTTTGTTTATACCTGTTGGGACTTGAGATTCCTCACTACAGCGCTGTATTCATGTGGTAATGCCTTCACCACTGTGAACTCCAAATGGCACAACTGTGGCCATGTCAGATGGATTTCCATCAGCATGAGATCCATCATGTTTCGCTGCAGTGCCAATAACATGCTAAATACTGTCAATAACAGCTAAGACTATCGGTTCCTTTATGGCCTGGCTTACTCCTATGACTGTGGGGATTTTACCTTGCCACCATGATCCAACTGTGTAAAAATGTATAATTATTCCTCTGACTCATCTACTTGGACACACACCCCATTCGCACACTCCTACACACTCAGCATGTGCTGCTAAATCTATATGTGCTACACATGTGAATCCACTACGGTGACTTGTACTTTAAGTCTGTTTTTCCATCCCCTTATGCTATAAATAGACCAAAACTTAAACCAAAAATACATTGAGGAGTGTTTGGTGAATTTATTTTTCCCTTTTTCGAAGAAAGGACCAGGCAGGGGAAGGGAGTAATATGGAAAATAGCACCACACAAATATGCCCAATCCAAACACAGGTCTGATACACAAGGAAGTGATCAAAGCACGCTCAATCTGTCTGTCTATTCTCAGCCAAGACAAGACAGCTTTCCGGGAGGTGATATCACAGTTGGAGATGGATCCCAAGTGCAAAGGCCTGCCTTTCTCATCCTTTTTGATTTTGCCATTTCAGAGGATCACTCGGCTCAAGCTACTGGTTCAGGTACAGCTCCTCTCTGCTCTGTCTTCTGACAGTTCCCCTGTGCTCCCTCCAGGACTCCCCTAGGTAGCTGTCATGGAGTGTCAGAGTTTTCGTATTTTCACGTACACAGAGAAAGACACACACCCTCTCTTCGCCTTGCCCCCCATGTCTTAGAGTCAATATCCAAGCTTGAAGCAGCAGCATGGCATCCAGTTCCTGGAGGAGTGGAGTGAGGGAGTAGGGAAGTGGTAGAAGTTCAGAATGGGTGCCAAGAAGAGTAAGGAATAAGGAGGGGCAATGCCTCTTCAGAAGATGAGGAAGCATATGCCTACTGGAGGAAAGGCCAGGAAGGGGAGTGATGTAGTCAGAGCAATGTGCACGTGTGGTCAAGGTGCAGAATAGATTGATACTTGTATAATCAGGCCTGACTCTGCACCAGCCCTATGGGACACAAGAAGTAGGAAGATGAGAGCTGAAGGAATTAATGGAGAAAAGCTGCTTCAGACTCAGCTCAGTATTCTATAGGAAACTGTGGTGCAAGAAAACTACTAAATAGCCAAGGGCGCTGTAAAAAATAAGTGATGCAACAGTCCCCTTCCTCACACATACATCTGAAACCATAGCACAGCAGCATCCCTCTGCCCTACTCCTGGGGGAATTCTGTGCCACTGTTAAATGAAGAATTGTGCAGAACATAATGTTGTGCACGTACAATTTCTTTTCCCTCCACAGAAATGGGCTGCAGTGCTGCTAGCCACCACTGGACTTGGCAGAGCCTATCTTGCACATAGAAGACACTGCGAGGACAGGGGAGATAGAGAGTTTCTGACAGCCCAGCAAGCATCAGGCTGTTTCTCCATCTGAATCCCTGAGTTCTGGGGAGGGTAGGGGACAGGTGTCTCGGGGAGGAAGAGCCCCACGGCTGAGCTGTGGGGAGAAGGAGGTTCTGGTGTATTGGCTAAGGTGGGCTCTGCAGGTGGACTCTGGGGAGGTAGAGGCTGTGGGTGAATGCAGGAAGAGAAACAAGAACTGGGCTGTCATAGGGATTGCTCTGACTCCCTACTGTTGGGGAAAATATTGTGTGTGTCTGTATTATTACAGACATTTGCTGACAGGTATCTGGAAATAAATTACTAAAAGAGTAGAAATGGCATGATTATGTAGAGTTTCACAGCTAAAATTGGAAGCCCCCCTCCCCCCCATAGTACCCTAATCTAAAAACTAGGCAATTAGTTACAAATGTCTCTTCACACTGTTTCACTGGTGCTTCCCCCATGCTTATCGAAAGAGCCCTCCTTGTCCTGGGTTTTGTGTGTGTATATTTGTTTGTGACAATATAGTGCTTGAGAGGACATCCAACAGCGGCTGATGTCCACTCACTGCCTTCCATTGGGAGGGCCGCCTCCTAGTGATATGGGGAAAGTTCAGTCTGAGTGACATGCTAGCTACTTAGATTACCAGCAGGTGCTGGGTTGAGCGGCTTTTATAACATATGCACTTTTTGACTTGTCCACTAGCTACTGGACTGAGACCAGGACACTCATTTTACATAGATCACTCAACCATTTGATGGGAACAGCATTCAGTTACTGCCAATATGGAGGTAGAGCTGATCTAGCAACCTAGTGGGGAAAGACTTCATATTCTGTTACCTAGCCAATATTTATTACTGTTGATAGTCAAATTTGGCCAAGAGGATGATAGTGTCTGAAAAATGTTCTGTGCTGTCAAGCAGAGTGAAAAATTAATTCTGCCTTTGCCTCCTATGCAAGTGTCTGAAAAATGTTCTGTGCTATCAAGGAGAGTGAACAATTAATTCTGCCTTTGCCTCCTATGCAGAATATTCTCAAGAAAGTTGAAGAGAAATCAGAGAAGGAAACCACTGCCCTTGAAGCACACAAAGAGTTGGAAATAGTAAGTCTGGTGGCAAATTTCAGAAGACTGAAAATTAGCCAGCATCCTCAGTGTCTTTAAAAAGGTACTCTGGCTATATGCATTCCTGGTGCAATTCCACTGATCTCTATGGAGTTATCAGAGATGCATTTGCCTCATCATGTGATAGAGTAATTATTTCCCTTTCTTCTTCCCTCAGGGTAGACCATGCTAGCAAATAGACATCAGGGGAACTGCTCTTGTTAACAGATTGTATATTCTGTAGGAGATGTTAGCGAGAAAAGTTGTCCCCATATTTCAGAGAATTCTAATTGTGATGGAGTTCATGGGGAAGATCTATTTAAATTAACTACAGTCAGTAGCAGACTAGGGGAGGGACAGGGATTGGATTTCATCCTGTGGTACAACTTAACTTTCTGCCCTTGAATAGTAGTTTCTTTAAAGAAGTGCTTTTAATGAATGTTTAAGATTGTGTGTGGTTCCCATTCAAAATCTATAGGGAGGTATGATAAAGAGGTTGAAATTCAATTATTATTCCAGCACAATGCCTATCCGAATACACATTTTGGGATAGTCACAGAACATTTGAAAGGCCTTGTAGTGTCTTCCTTGAGGTTATCTTGATGGTGGCTCAGGGTCCCTTATACTGCCTCATAAAGACAGAGTATGTGATAGCCAAACATTTAGCACTGAGGTTATCTGAAGCTTTCTGCAGCTCTATTTGTTAGGGATAGGATTTTCCAGGGTCTTTGATATAATTGACAGGTACCACTCCCTTCTTTATTGGTAGTACCCTTACTACACAACAGCTCTCACTGTTTTAAACAGCTGGCTGCTAATTGCTCTGCAAGCTGAGGAGGGATGGGAGGGACACAGCCAGCGCAGCAGACAGGCATGGAGCCTGTCTCAGGTTCCTGCTGGGCTACCAGCTGGGGCCACCTAGATTATGTGCCTCCCAGCCACAGCCTGCCTCTGGCACCCCATCCCCTCTCTCTCCCCAACTACCTGCCCCAGGTCATCACCCAACCCTCTGTATCCACTCTCCCCCCCTCCTCCAGTTGGCAGCTCCCCCAAGACCCCGGCACCCCTCCTATGCCCCTCCCCCAGGCCAGAATAATCTCCTGCACCCCAAGCCCCTGCTCTAGATCATAACCCCCTCCTTCACCCAAACTCCTTCAGACCCCCCACCCCTTTCTGGACCCCAATCCTCTTCCCCAAACTCCCTTCTGCACCCCACCTGCCATCCCAGACCCCACACCCCCTCCATAGAAGTACAGTCTTGATCACTTACCAACATCTTGGAGTAGTCCCTGAACAAAAAAATATTGCCCACCCCTATTCCAATGAGTGTGATGGCTAAGTTTGCTATGGACATAGATGATCATTGCTGTACCTGTCTATCAAAGACTGTCTGACTTGATCCATTTTATAAATCTGTGGCATGGTGATTTATACATTTTTAAGTTGCAATATAAGGCTAAACCTCATTTACCTTTAATTAGGTATATATTGTTATGACAGAGCACAGCTAATGGCATTGTTGTACATAATCTTACAAGTTCTTTTTCTTAGCATGTAAGCATGTTTTTAGTTGTTGGTTTTCAGATGATATTTTTAATGGGGAAGCTGCGGCAAGCTGCAAGAGAGTTTGCACTCCACTCTAATCTCTCTGTTCTTGAGACAGTCTTGCTCCCTGTGAATTGGGCGTTGATATTTGTACTGAGATCCCTAAAAGAGGTTGTTTTGTGTTAAGCTATTTTGTGACCACATCTTGTTCTAGTGTAAACAAATATGTTTCTGTAAGAATATACAGACTGCTGCATTACTGATTTCTCTTCCAACGGGACGTTGCAGCCCTCCACCTCAACATCAATATCTTATTAAAGATAATGACAGTATTTCCTCAAAATTAATCCTTGCCTTCCTTTTCCTCCATACGAAGCTGGTCGTGCATGTATACTTTCTGGATTGAACATATAGGAACAAGTGATTTGTAGCATTGTAGGATTTTGAGAAATATAGTTTGATATAGCGGTTGTACCTGCTAGATATTAGAATATTGGCATGACAATGACATCAATATCTGAATATAGTTTAAATAAGTGCCATATGACCTCTAATTATAAAGCCTTCCTAACATTAAATCCTTTTCTTGTTCACCTTTAAGTGAATTTAGTGTTGGCAAAAATAACTAACTTGACAGAACAAAAAAATGGATCAGTATTTATTAGTCAGTTCAGTTAGTTTACACCAAAAATTATCTGCGTGTCAAATATTGCTATATAATTTGTCTATGTATGTATCATTTGTTGTTTATAACTGCCCCAACCAATGGCCATTCAGCTAAGAACTGATGTTTCTGCAAAGCTCTATGTTAATGCTGGGATGTGCAGTTAATACATGTAGAGAAACATGTATAAAAGGAGGAATTTTATCATAATTTGTATTCTTTTGGGCCCAGTCTAGTTCCCATTGAGCTCAATGGAAAAGCTTACTTTCACTATGGAAGATGAATTGGGTCTTTAATGTTACTTTCTCACTTTTGTAATTCAGTAATTCCTCATTTAATACATGCCCGTTTAACACATTTTTGCGATGAAAAAAATCGTGCTAAGGGAACGTTTTTTGAATTACACGAAATAATACCATTTCCCCAGCCAGCCCATTGCCGGCGGCTGTGCAGGGCTTCCTCCACCTCCCTGCAAAGTGGCGGAGGGTTCCTGACTCACCACACTGTTCCCCACTGACTCCCCCCTCACTGGACACCTTGCCCCTTCTCCTCCGCCCCCTGGGTTTCCCCAGCTGGCCCGTCGCCGGCGGTGGCGTGGGGCTTCCCCCGCCTCCCTGCAAAGCAGCAGATGGTTCGCCGCTCGCCATGCTGTTCCCCGGCGACCCCCCTCGCCGGACGCAGTGCGGGTCCCAGCAGACCCGTCACAGAGGCATACTCAGTGGCAGATTTAGGACAGGGCAAGCAGGGCTGCCGCCCCCGGCCCCGCGCTTTAAGAAGCCCCGCGCATGCGCCGTGTCAAAGGGGGGGCCCCACAAAATTGTGCTGCCGTGGGCCCCGCAAAATCCTCATCTACCCCTGAGCATACTCCCAACGCAATCCTCATCTCCTCCCCTTCTCCAGAGCCAAACACCTCCCCTCCCTGCTGTAACCCAGTCCCCTTTCTCTTCCAACCTTATATCTCGGTCCCAACAGACACCACCGCTTGAAACACAACCCCCACCTTTTCCATTATTTTCAATGGGAAAATTGACCCCACATAATACGTTTTCACTTAACACAATCATTCTCTAAAACATATCTATAGTGTTAAATGAGGAATTACTGTATGTAAAATGTTGTTGTTCTACAAGACCCTGCTTATGAGATTGCCAAGTAGTATTTCCTTTTCTCCATTATTATAATGCCTATACTGTGGTGCTCACCTGAGTAGAAAGATCATGTCATACACCAACACTTGCTAAATAACCCATGGGAGAGGAGCACTGTAGCTTGGAATCAGACCTTTGGCTTGTTCTCTTTTTGCAGGTGGTGAAAGCATGTAATGAAGGGGTCAGGAAGATGAGCCGAACAGAGCAGATGATTAGCATCCAGAAGAAATTGGAGTTTAAGATCAAGGTATAAGTACAGCTGTATAAGTACAGACTGGTAACCCCTGCACAGATGGAACAGATAGCATCTGGGTATTGCAAACACCCAGACTATGAAGATAATGACCAGTTGTGAACATTATGGTTTGGGACTTGTCCAACACCATATAAAAAATCTCTATGGAAGAGGCAGGGATAGAATCCAGTTCCCCAGCACAGCATTAAACTGTCTTAACCATGAGCCCATTCATTCTCTTCCTGTTAGCCCCTGCATCATCCACTAAACAGTCTCAAAGTTCTAGAACGAATGAGGCAGGGGTCCTGAAGGCAACAGCCTAATTCACTGCACAACCCTAGGAGAACTTGATTCTGTGCACTGAGGCATGGTTCCTCTTCAAAAAGTAGTATGTGGTGATGTAATTAATGACAGAACTGTAATGCATACACACAGGGGGAATGAATCAAAGTTGCACAGGCAACCTTAATTTGGGCATTTCCTGACTATTAAGCACTTCACTTTGTAACCATAGTGTCTTTTGAAGTAATTTTTTGGATGTAATGTCTTACATCTTTTTAAAAATGCCTTAAGAGAAATTCCAATCATATTTCCCCCAACTTGGGACATCAGCAGGGTCTTTCACAGCCATGACACAGACCTTTACCACTTGAGCTAATGGAATAATTGGAAGTAGTCATTTGCTGTCACCCTCTATTTGGGCTGATCCCTGGGGGAGTAGGGGAAGGAGATACTTGGACAATGGGTTTCACAGCTATTGGCTGACAACAAAAGAATGTAGAGACCCAGGGCGCATGGGCTTAAGTCCAGGCTCCATAAGGCAGTATTCCTAATGGTTAGATCCTACTGCCCCTGCGCCCATAGCCTGCTACCCTCTGTTCCTATCTCCTTCATCCCAGTTCCTGCTCTCCTCCCTTCTTCTTCTATCCACTTTCTGTACCCCTTCCAGTCCTCTGGCTCCAGTACCACACTGTTGTCCTCTTGCTTCTGTGCCTTCTCCCCCTTTTGGCTCCTACAGACCTAGCTACCCCATCCCTCCACTTGGTCTCTGTGTTCCATGGCAGCTGCTTCCTCTTACTCTACACTGCACTTTCAGTACTTAGATTGCATCTGCTGTTACTGAAACCTTGTATACCTCTTCTCATGGCATAGGTCGTGTTCCTCCTACTCATTGCTCTGAGATTTATCTGCATTTCTAGCATTGCAAGAGTGAAGTAAGGCATATGCATTAGTTATCCTGTAAAGATTACATAAGATTGAAAGGGACCTTTTGAGTTGTCAAGTCCAGTCCCCTACTATCACAGCCAACCCTATGTGTAATTCTGTTCATAAACTTATCAAGATGCATCTTAAAATGAGTTAGGTTGTTGCCAGATCCTGCTCTTATGATCTTTGCTGTCTCTCTCTTCCATGTAGTCCGTGCCTATCATCTCTCACTCCCGGTGGCTGTTAAAACAAGGGGAACTGCAGCAAATGAATGGCCCAAAGACATCACGCACGCTCCGCACAAAGAAACTCTTCAGAGAAATCTATTTGTTCCTTTTCAATGACCTGTTGGTACTCTGCAGACAGATTCCTGGGTGAGTTTGCAGTGTGGCCAATACCTGGATGTGTATTATAAGCACACCTGCCCCCTCAATTAATCCAACCAGTTCTTGCTTGAATTGGGCATAGATTCTTGAATAATAATTGACCAAATTATGTCTGAACTACCACAGTACACAGTCCTGTATCACAGACACCATGTCTAGGGCCATGTAAAGATCACTCCTTTGTCTGAATATTTACACTGCCTGGGCTGCGAACTGTGGCTGTTGATAGGCTGCATGCCCGTACACAGGTTGACCTTTGTATACCTTCAAATTTCAGTCCAGATCTTCAATGAAGTAAATTAGCATAGTTCCATTGATTTTGGGTATAGCAGCTAAATATCTGGTTCTTGGGTATTGGTTTGCTGCTGTAAATTAGCTCATGGCTGGTCACCAGTCTGAAAAATATCAGAGGTTAAGCAAGTTAAACCTCTAGTAAATAAGTTCTGTTGGTTGAGCTGGGAGGGTCTGATCAGCTCGGAGGTATGCAAACCAATCTGTGAGACAAAGGATTGTACTAGTACACTGCACACCGTTTGGGGAGATGGGGGAAGAGAGCTGCCCCTGTTAGAAGTATAGAATTAATGACAAGAGAAATATTGCAACACAGAATTGATGCCAGAAAACAAAGTTTAACATTTAAAAAAAGACTTTCAGATAAGGAATCTATCAAACCTATAAAGCATTGTAAAGCATTTCTAATATGCAAGTTGTCACCGTGTCAGGAGCTCAGTACTACTTTTCTTGCATATCACTTTCCATGCAAGAACACAGAAGCATTTCACAAACATCAGTGATGTAAGCCTCTCATTTCAGTCGTTCTGGGAGAAAATATCATCAACATTTTACAGATGGGAACTGGGACACAGATTAGATGACTTCCTCACGGTCAGAAAAGTTTGTGGTGGAGCCAGGAACAGAATCTAGGTCTCTTGATTTTCAGTCTTGTGCTTTAGCTCCCAGCATTCTCACTCTCCCTAGGTGATGTCTCTTCCTCTCACCAGGCAAGAATTTGGTATCTGTCTCATGCTTTTCTCAGAATGTTGCATTGTTAAAGCTAGACTACTCCCAGACTGACTGAGCTTTCCTGACCCTTTGCTTACCTCTCTCAGCGAGAAGTACCAGGTGTTTGACTCAGCACCACGAGGGCTTCTCCGGGTAGAGGAGTTAGAAGATCAGGGACAGAGTTTGGCCAATGTCTTTATCCTGAGGCTTCTGGAGAATACGGATGATCGGGAGGTCAGCTATATGCTCAAGGCATCATCCCAGTGAGTATGAAACCCTATCATCCCATATTGACCTGCATTGCTGTTCCTCTGCACCCTCAAAAGTGTGTGCAACCTGCCACAGGCACCAGTCTGGCATCCACCTCCTCTATAGCAAGCTGGACTGACTCCACCCAGCACACAACCCTTCCTCCTCTTCTGGATATAACTTCTCTATGAAAGACAAAGCTTTGTCTTGGGAGGGGGTGAGGAGAGGGAATCAGATATAAAACTAGATGAGTTTCCTTTTTGTACAATTGTATTTACAGCATCCTTGTGTAACATGCTGATTTCTAGGTAGGTCAAGACTCAATTAAGATTCAAAAGGAAATTATATGGCTGCTTTGCAAATCTCTCATCATACTTACATCCAGATGGTAATTGAAATTAGCAGTAGCATGCAGTACATTTCTACAAGCACAGCTTGATGTGGATCACTAGGATTCAAACCACTTTAAAACTCTTGCATTTTGCTTTGTAAAATATCACCCTAGCTGTGCACAGTCCCTGGGACATGGAGCAGTTACTATAAAGATGAAGGCAAAAGTCTCAGTGTCAAGCACTCTTCTATAGCTGGCCCCAATCCTGATGGTAGCTCTCATGCTGCTCTGTGGTCTTGAATTCCACTGTGCTGAAGTCTCCCTGGATACAGTTTTCTGTCTCATTCTGTGGTTTTTACTTCAAGATCAAACAAGGTCAGCCTGGGCAAATGATTCAACACCACTAACAGTGGGCTGATTGTTTTGGGTGCATGGGGTCTAATTTCCAGACTGGCCTCAATCTCGTCTCTCACTGCAGCCACAGTTTTGCAGGCCCAGGCAATTATAGGTGTGTTTACATAGACAGTATTTACATGTCTACATGATATTTGCACCCTGAAATTGGGAAAGCAGAAGAGGAGACTGGAATTTAAAAATCCTGCCATTGAACAGTAATTAGAACAGATTTCCAGCCATGGCTTCAATCCTGCAGCAAGCCACCCACACGCTCATTGCAGGATTAGTGTGACCAGAGAGTAGCATGCGTTATGACTGCTCCCATCCCCCTGTAGCTCTGCTACTCCAGGGTGACTAAAAGATTTGCTGAACCTGGAAGTGGAGATGTTGGGCACCTAAAAGCTATATACCACAAATAAGCATTGAGAGCAAAGGCAACCCTTGTTTATCACAGCTAAGGGTGTGCTGACTACAGTATGCTTTGGAAGAGAAGAACTAGCATAATGAGATCCTATTTTCAGTCACTTATACCTCCGTAGACAAGGCCAATCTCAGCATTATTGCCACTAGCGTCGTTGAACATGTAGCCCCTTCTCAGTGTCTAAGCTCCCAGTCAATGCACTTCATGCTCATTAGGGTCACACTTTCAAACACTCCGATACAGGCGATGACACTTTCCTATCAGCACCTTTCTTTTCTGCTTTTGTCAGGGTGTTCTCCCCTTCCCCCTATAAAGAAGCTTCATTAATCTAAAATCTTGCATTTAATTACAATGTTAAGCTTGAGTTCAGATTTCAAATCCCCAGAAGCCAGAAAATTAAAATTTCTGGCCTCTCCCAGTACTTGTAGCTTTTATGCAAGGCATAAACTTAAAATCATACCACTCTGAGCTCTGTGCAGCACTTGGAAGATTCAAAATGTAGCTAGTGGTAGAGATGTAGCAGTAATAAACCATCTTGTTAGTATTTAAAGTGCTACATTGTCCTGCATTTTGCTTCAAAATGTAGCTAGTGAGTCTCCAAGCAGAGCTGCCACGTTCTGTGTAGCCCTTCCTGTGGCAACTATCCTGGGTGAGTTAAATGCAACTCAACAGTCTTGTGTGGAATTTGCCATCTCCACCTGCTGGCAGTTTGTGGCTCAGTGGGATGGGTACTCCTTAGCTGGATTTGGGAGGCAAGTCAGGTGTAGGTAAAAACTGCCCCAGCAGTTTGTGAGGGATGGAAGGGGATGAGCACTCATTAATGGGAAAGGTGAGGAAGGCATTAAATCAGGGGAGGGAGCAGCTGGGGCAGGCATCTGAAGGAGCCATGAAAGCCAGTGAGAATTAGCTGGATTTCATAATGCTCCTGCTGCAGTAGATGGAAGCCTCTCACATACAAGGCTCCTGCAGCGTGACTTGGTGTGCCTTCCCCTCAGCATGGATTGTCTCAAAGTCACCAGTTCAGTTTGCGTGAGACTTCCTAGCCAGTGCGTGGGAGATGACAACTCAGGGAAAATGCCAGAGTGTCACACAGATGAGTGATGCTTGACAGGCATGGCTAAGATCTGACATGCAGAGGTTGGAGAGCACACCGATTGCACATTGCTGCTTACACATGGCAACGGGGAGAGGGAGAGAGTGCAGAGTTAGAAAGGGAACCAGACACTGCCGAGTGATACTGAAGGTAGGCAGGCAAGAACATGCCAAGGAAGGAAGAGCTCTGACAACTGGCAGGGAGGGAAGAAATCCCAGAGCTGATCCCTCCTACTCACTGGCTGCAAGTGAGGAAGGAAAGGGAACAAACCTGCCCAGTGATTTTGGGAAGGGCTGAATCAGAAGCCCAAGATTCCTTATATAATCTGAGTGCTTGGGGAAAGGGTGTGCACCTTCACTCCACAGCAGATCAAGCCAGGAGTAATGGAAAGCCCATTCACAGAGATCCAGGGGGCCGCCCTTTACGAAGAGAAGAAATGGCTGGAAAGAGGAGAGAGCTGAGTATGTTACACCTGCTGTGGCCTCGGATCAACAGCATGGGAGTACTGTACTGGATCTAACTTTCCACTTTGGTTATTGTCCAGGCAGTTGCCCATTGCTGTTGCTGCTGCAGCAGCAAGTCAGAGGACTCAGATTCTACATTATCCTAGTAGAAACAGTCAAGCAGAATGCAGGGACAGTGAGGGGGAATCATTCAGCTCTCCCCCAATTTATTAATATTGAGCAGTCAGACCTTCAAATGTTTGTGTAGTTCCCTTGAGGCACCCTCACCGCATCCCAGCTGCCCTGAGAGCAGCTGTAAGCTAGAAGGGGGAAGCCAGGGGAAGCAGATGGGAGGGCAGGCCTGGCAAGCAAAGCTGGTTGGGAGAATGACACGTGCTGCAGCCGGACTTTCACACCTGCATGGCTCTGTTCTGTTTGTCTCCGGTCACAGAAGTGAGATGAAGCGCTGGATGATCTCGCTGGCCCCAAACCGGAGAACCAAGTTTGTTTCATTCACCTCTAGGCTCATGGGTAAGAGATGCAGCAGAGATGGTGGGAGGGAGGGAGAAACTCATTTACCTCGTGGTGTCCCCTACTCCCCTTCATGGATCCCTGTCTGGGCAATCTGAAAGGCTGGCTGCATAGCAGATACTGCCACTGAGGTTGCGTCCCTCAAGGCCTCTCCCCTCCACTGGGTCTTGCCAGCTCTCTGAATGAGACTAACAAGATCATCCATGCTCTCCTCCAAAGCTTTCCTCTCTCTCCTCTGTGCCTGGCATTCAGGTTCCTTCCCTGCTCTCCGCCTCCAGCCCCTTACCCTGGTCATCCCACCATTCCTGTCTCCTGCCCCCCTTCATTCCACCAAACCAGTCTCACCAGGTCACACTAGATATGGAAAATGTTAAAATCTCAAGATGCCGCCTTCCCACCCTCTGCCTCCCGTTTGCTCAGAGTATCTGCATTTCCATGGCTAGTCAGAAGCAATAACACAATTGTACATTCAAGTGTAGACATAGCACCAGCACCCCTATCCCAGTACAGTCCGTTCCCAGCTGGAGCCACAGCTCTCCTTTACCCTTTGCACCATGCTGCTGTTTTGGCAGTGTTGTTCATGTCCGGGACTCGCCCCTCACCTACAGGCTGCAGCTCCGGTGCTGAGGCAGGTAGACCTGGGGCTGCTCAGGACTGTTCCATTCTCCAGCCGAGCGCCACGGGGCACTGGGGAAAGGTCTCCCCACCCATGGAGAGCAGCTGTGGCTAAGCCCAGGCCCCAGCTCCCCACGGAGGCGGCAGCAGTGTGACTGGCTGTGCCACCCCAATCTGTGGAGCAGCCCCAACCCCACCCACTCCTAGAGCAGGAGGCAGAGTCTGTAATGGGGGGTGGGGAGGTGTTAACCCCTGAGCTCCCAGGAGCTGCACACCCCAGGGATGCAGAGCTCAGTGCAGCGTCATGCTGCTTGCTCTTGTTTGCCAGCCCCCTGGCCCCTACACCATGCTGCGCATGCCACAAAAATCATCTTGCCTGCCACTTAGGGTGAGCATGCTGTACATTGCCAACCCCTGGTCTAGGTAATCCACCTCTGAGCACTGAATTTCCCATACCCCAAGAGATGCAGTTATGTCAAGTTGCTTGTGCAGACCAAAACCAAGCCATTTTATACTTTACAGTAGTCACAGGACTCTGGAGTAGCTGGATTACCTTGTCCCTTTCCATTGTCAGATTGCCCCCAGGTGCAGTGTGTCCATCCGTATGTGGCTCAGCAACCAGATGAGCTGTCCTTGGAGCTGGCAGATGTTCTCAACATTCTGGACAAGACGGATGATGGTAAGGGCACTGGGACCAAGCACCCCTAAAATCACTCCTCACAAGGGAGACCGCTTTCCCAGGCACTGGCTGCTGCTTAGTCTTGCCAATGCTCCTGACTGGTTGCCATTTGCAGCAACCCTACTGCTTCTGAATGTACAGGGATGTTCCTCCTAACGGAGAGGTGCCCTTGCTGGACAACCAGGGACTCCCTGAATCTTTGATACTCCCTGAACCTCATGGGACCTCGGCATCAGGGGACAGCAGACCTTGTAGATAACAGAGTTGAGAGTGTAAACACCCTTTAAGGCCCTCAATCCTTTACCTTGTGCTCCCTCTTCTGGCTGACAAGTATAGCTACGTCCTGTCCCTATGGGTTTTAGTACTCATGCAGCCAGGAAGGCTGAGCGAAGAGGTGGCATGTGTTTCTCTTGCGGGACCTCCTTTTAGCCAGTTTTGCAACCAGGATACAAGGTCAGGTACCTTTGTAAGCCAGTGGCTCAGAGGGGATTAGAGCCCGGGGTTTTCCTGAGTCCCTAACCCTTTGCTTCATCTGTGAGCCACCTGTTTGTCTCAAGGGTATCAGAGAGCCCAGGCCCTCCAAAGCATAGCCCCAGAGGGTCGCTCTCACTCCTGCCCTTGGCCATGCTAGTCAGCTACATGTTTTCCCTGCCCCTCAGGTTGGATTTTTGGGGAGCGTCTTCATGACCAGGAAAGGGGCTGGTTCCCCAGCTCTATGGGGGAGGAAATTCTGAACCCCAAGATCCGATCGCAGAACCTAAAGGAGTGTTTCCGGGTAGCACAAGGAGTACCTCTGGCTTATGGAGATGGAGGGCAGATGCTGCAGGCTGAGAGAATGAGGTGGTGGTGCTGGTACTATGGGCCATGGCACAGAGCCTGGTCTTTTAATATGCTAATCCCACCCACTCCTAAACAAATAGACTCTGCTCTGCTCACAGAGTTCTCCCCTCCACATTTTGTATTCCTCTGGAGCCCAACCCAAGAGAGGATAGGCCACTTCTCCAAAGTTCAAGGAACTCTTCAGTGTAATGGAGTGCCAGTTGTGCTACCAACCCCAGAGAACACCCAGTGCTCACCCCTGTGCAGTGAGGAGCTGCTGGACAAGACGGCATCAGAGTCCCGCAGGAGAGTCACCGCAGCTGTAACATACCAGGGATGCTTGAGCCACTTTTCTAGTATAAATGGACAGAATTGGCTGGGCTAGGGAAATAGTTCTACCTTGCGTACCATAGAAAACTTGCTCAGATGCCTAGCTACCCCCTTGCTGGGCCCTTCCATTGTAGGAATGGGTCCGTGCCACCCAACAACCTAGTTCTGTGCGCACACACTAGAGCTGAAGCCATTATTTACCTCTTCCAGTACTCACATGGCAATTAACAGTGGCAATAGGGGCTTTCTTTCGTGGAGCACATGGTGCAGTTCTGGGTCCCAGCACTTAACAGAACCTCTAAGGTTGGCAAGTGCTATTTTATAGGTGGGGAAATTGAGGCAGAGTTGTTGACTCACCTGAAATCAAAGGGAGACCGTGCCAGAGCTGGGACTATAAGTCAGGACTTCTGCTGCCTGATTCCCAGTCCTCTTGTTGGGCTGCTAGGCCCACTCCTATCTCCAAACTGCTCTTTGAACCCAGTTCTAGGAAATGCACTAACAGGCTAAATCAACAGCATCACATCCTGCCTTTCAGCAACCCTCACTCCTGATATTCCTGAACTTACTCCTGCAGAGTGCCTGGACTCCTACATTTCAACCCCCGGGGGACCAAACGCAAGGTTCTCTGCATGCAGAACAGCAGCAGAGAGTACCACCAGAGAGCCCCGCTGAGCAGGGCATGTGTGACGGCCTTCGTCCGAACGGCACTAATGGATGCTAACACCTGCAAGACAATAGCAGGGGTATGTGGGATTCCAGAGCACGGCCCCCATTCAGAGATAGCAGGGTAAAAGAAACTATGGTCTGCCAAACCACTACACATGGACGATGTTCCATCAGAGCCAGAGGCTTCAAATGTGGGCTGTTACCCCCGCATGTTTGTAGAACTTGGTTCCTTCCGTTGTCAGGGCCTATTTGGAATGTAACGTAAACTGAATTTCCACAAGGCTGTGCCACACTCCCAGACAACTCTGGGGCCTGTTTCCAAAGGGCAGGGCTGAACTCAGACGCGGGGTTCATGCAAAGGCCGCCTGGCAGCAGTAAGGCCATGCCTAACAAGAGCTCATACAAAATAGCTGAAGTTGGCCAGGGAGCTAGGGGACATTGTACTAAAGCTACGTGAGGGCCGATACTCCCTCTGTAAACCCAGCGAGCTAGCTGTGTGCATGAACTGTATGTACGGTATTGACACCTCCATGTTTATAGGAAGACCTCAGTAGCCAGAAGGACAAGGGAATTATTGGCTTGTTTGATGCAACCCAGCATTGCATGGAACAGAGGGCAAGGGATCCAGAGCATTGGCAAGGAACAGAGACCTGACAGTGCTTGGAAACTGAGCACAAGAAAGCACTCTAACAACAAATGGCTGTTTAGCCTGCCCTGTTCTTTGTGGTTCCAGAGAGGCCCCCTCCCTCAGTGACCCTTTGTTGGCCACAAACGGGCAGCTGACCCAGAGCACTTATTTGCATGAACATAAATCAGGGAATTTAAATTATTCAGCATTGTTCTGGGATGCTGTAACACAGTCTTCCGGGCATTTCTTGACACACAATGCTGCTTCTGATCTCTGCACTTCCCCCCAGCATCCTTGCTCCTCCCCTCTTCCCTCCCCTCCACACACCTCAGATTGAGCATATCATGTCAGTATGGTTGTGGTCAAAGAGAGGATTGTAAAGTCAACACCTTTTTACTCAGCTACTAGGCTTTCCCTTTGTGTGTTTTGGACTGAGCCTGTCTACAGTTGTCAGATGTGCACTGGTGTCACTACAATTGATGCAGTTAATTACTGGCATAAGCCTCACTTTACATCCCTGCTGCATGCCTGCCAGAGGCTCATGCCATTGTGACTACATCAAGTTACTTGAGTGTGTGTCTGCTGTAGACAGGCTCTTCATACAATGCAGTTATCAGTATTGCAGTCAACAGCGCTGGGAGAGTGAGCAGCATTCACTCGCGGCTTGCATTGGAACAGCATTGATAAGGCTCCAGTGGATGCAAACCTTAATGCTGTAGTCAACTCTTGGACACCACAGGTGTGTCAGAAAGAGCTGACAGTAGATTCTGCTCTTTCACCAGGGAACATGCTGTCTCAAGTTAGACAAGTGCCTATGGGTACATCAACACAGCAATTCAACACCTGGGGCTGGCCTGGATCAGCTGACTCTGGCTTGGCCTGTGGGGCTGTAATATTGCTATGTAGCTGTTTGGCCTGAAGCCTGGATTCTGGGACCCTCCTGTGGACTCCAGCCCAAGGCCCAATGTCTCAGCAATTTTTAGCCCTGACGCTCGAGCCAGCTGACCCTGACCAGCCAGGGCTCTGCCATTCCGATGAGAGCAGAACCCCCCCCTCGGCATGTGAGCCAGAAGGCACTCAGCTCGATTGACCCATTCCAGCTCAGGCTGGTGGGGCTGGCAGTCCAAAACACACTTGCCATTTGAATTGTAAATTGAGTAGATTGTATTCAGGAGGCTATAAATACAAAGACCATAAATTGTACAGTCACTTTTCTAAGTACAACCAGACTTCACGCTCAGGGTCCAAAGCTTCTAGCAGCAGCTGTTTACAGGTAATTAGTGTAAAGCTCTAGCTATGAAAATAATTGAACACAAATAGATACAATCGTATTACAGATCATGCAGCCTTGCCCAAATTATCATGAACATTTCCCAGCCCTGGCACTAACCCTAAACGCTGGCTTGGGACAAAAAATGATTTTTACAATTGAAATGAAAATAACTGTAGTCAATGAAAAGGTTACTTGGCCCAGGCTAGGGGACAATTCATTGTACCAGGCTGAGATCATTCATTGATCAACTTTGCATTTCTCTGGAGGAGAGGGGTTTCCAGTCTTTCCCTGGCCTTTACCCTTCCTCTCAGGACCCTTGGACACATGCCACCGACGTCCTTCTTTAGGGGTTTTGGGGACTCTGCACGGTCACCCATGGCACATGATATTCAGACACTGAGTTGGATTTGTTCTATGTTCCGTTTTAACCTCCCCCACTCCAGAGACACAGTCCAACATGCCAGTTTCAGGTGGGCTAATGCTGTAGATAGGGTCAGTCTGTGAAAGGAGCATAGGTGAGAGTTCCCACCCCGGTCATCATCAGGCTGCCTGAGGGAAATGAAAAGAACTATTGTTGTTGTTTTTCTTGTGGTTAAAATACAGCTGACTGCGCCAGCACCTTCCAAAGCCTGCCATGGTTTGCGTTTTCATTTTCCCACCCAGAGCGTGATCAGCATCACCACTCGCCGCCTCCTCCTCTACCTGAGCACATGGCCAACAGTGTCAGATCTGTTCTCATTCCTAGTTCCGTCCAGACTCATGACCATGTTAGTGAGGGGAAGCAGTAAAGATCTAAAGCAAGACTGTTTCAGCTCACATGCTGATTCACAGCTAGTCCAGTCCCCAGGGACAGAGTTAATACCTGTTGTTTGGTGGCCTAGGTTTAAGAATTTAGAATGCGTAGCTCAGCTGACAGATGACCACCTAACAAACGACACCATTCACATGTGATACCAGGATCTGAAAGGACTTTGAGATCAGGGGTAACAAGGTGTCTATGGGGCAGCACTGGTGCATGCAAGAGGCTGCTTGCGCTGTTTTATGGAGGAGGCTTTCAGTTACTGCTAGAAACTCAACACTTCTAGTAAATAGAAGCTGCTGCTTGCTGACATTCATACAGCACTCTGGATCAGTCTGCCCTAGCAATCACCACCAGAGGTCAGGTGCTGCCCATTCAACAAACACCCCCTTATGGGTGTATCTATACTACAGCCGTAGTGCTATGGCACCACAGCTGTAATGTAGGTGCTTCCTACATCAACAAAAGAGCGGTGAAGTTCTTCTGTTGACCTAGTCACACCTACGTTGGAGATTAGATCAACCTAATCATGCGACACAGGGTCAAAACTTTTCAGAGCCCTGAGCGAATTAACTAGATGGGAATAGCTCTTTGTATGTAAGTAATGGACAGTGAGAGTCCTTGAACGGGGAGGAGAGCAGGGGAGAGAGAAGACGACAGTCCCAGAGCTCAGCTTTTAACAGGGATGTCCGGCAATTACCTCTATAGTCTTGAGCTGGCATCACCACCCTCTCTTGCACCTCTGGATGCAAGAGCCTTTTCAATATCATCTCACACGGATAATAGAAAACATCCAAAAGCCTGTTCAGATTTTGACAGGCAGCAGCTGCTGCTGCTGCTGACCCCTATAGACCAGATCTCTCTCCTAGCATCTCAAACAAGGCACATCCCTCAGGGCACTAAATTGCAGGGGTCAATATGGAAATGGAGGGCAATATTACAAACAGGAGGAAACACAAAGAGCGCAAGAGAGCAGGCAGCCACTTCAGTCTACAAAAGCATCATGGCCCAGGGAGGAGACCATATATGAAGAGTTCGGTGGGAGTGGAAGTGGGAATGCACCAAACTTGTTGCTGCATTTAAGGGGACATCTCCAGAATAGTAAGTCATCAGGAGGGACAACGGGCATTTTGCTAAACCAAGCAGTGGCTGTGCCTGCATCACAGCCTATGGAGCAAGTAAAACAAGTGTGTGCACACGAAAGAGTATCCGAATGCCCCGCAGCAAATGGGAGCAGCCCACAGGAGTGAGCGTAACGGGTAGACCACAAAGTCAGCTCCTTTGATCCCATCCCTCCCATCTGTCCTGCATTACTCCTGCCTGAATCAAAGGGATATTGAAGCTTGTGCTGTGAATGTGTTTGTTGGCGGGGAGCACGAGCAGCAGCTGTGCATCAGCACCAGAGTCACAAATCTCTCTGATGTCAGCAAAGGACCAGAACAATTCTGTGGCTCAGAGCAGCACAAACAACGTTCTGTGGCTCAGAGCAGACACACTCCAGCCACGTCAGCCCATGTGGCTCTAACTTACCCCCAGATGGGAGGGAGGCATCCATGGAGGGCAGTGGTGGTGTTAGAAGTCAGTTAAAAGGCCTTGAGACTCCTCACCGAGGGGCGTCCTCAAGGGGGCCCTGTTCAGTCAGATGCAGATGAGCAGGCCAGCACCCACCGACAGACAGAGAAGACACATGTAGTAAGAAAAAGCTTTTTATTGGGTTCAGGAGGCAGAGAATTTCCGCAGGGTGATGACGATCAGGGCCACTATCACAGACGTGCCCAGGAGAGCAGCGATCACGATGGCGCTGATAGCTCCAGGACCCAGGGACCCTGCAGAGGACGGAGGCAGAGAAAAGACACTCACAACAGCACAAAGGGCTGCAGGAAAACAGCATATCCACAAATACACAACCAGCTCCATAGCACGTGCCTGGCTCCAGGACCAGCAAAATGGGGGCAGGCACACCCAGCATTGCCAGGCTGACAGCAATCCCAGGCCCCAGGGCATGGCAGTCAGTGGGCCCCCAGGCACGCACAAGCTGTCCCCACGCAGATGTGCTCAGCCTGATATCCGGGCAATGCTGCGCCTTCCCTGGCTGGCATCCTGCCAGCTGCTGGCTGAGCTGCTGGGCACACTCTTCTGGCAGTGCCAGGGCATCCACATGCCCAGCCAATAGGGTTGCCAGCTGTCTAATCATGCAGCCCCAAAGATCCTTGGCCCGCCCCCTGCCTGGCCCCTTCCCTGAGGCCACACCCCATCCCTCCCCTTCCCTGAGACCCTGCCTCTGCCCACTCCATCCCCCTCCCTCCATCGCTTGCTCTCCCCCATCCTCCTTCGCTTTCGGCAGGCTGGGTGCGGGCTCCAGGCTGGGGCTGAGGATTGGGGTGCAGGAGGATGGCAGGGACTGGCTCTTCCTCAGGCAGCTCCCAAAAGCAAACATCACACCTCTCTGGCAGCGGCTGCTCGCCGAGG